GGTCCACTCCATTACAGCCTGAGGGACCTGAAGCCACTTCCTTCCCCCACTTTCCCTGACCTGCAGCCCCAGGTCAGCAGCGATGACCTGCTGCACTGTAGGGACAGCAGCCGGCCATGCTTTTCACATAGATCCGTGTGCTGGTGACGAATTGGATTTATCCTGATCCAGATGCAAATCCAACCCAAATGTGTTTATCCAAACCCCCCACTGTTTATCACGGAGTAGAATCTTATAGGTGAAGTGACGTGGCAGGGATGCAGATTTCTACTCTATCAGAGATTACAGTAGGAACAAAACCTCTCCTCTGTCTTCTCCACCCCGGCCCCAGTCTGCTTCGCATCCGCTGTGCACACCAGGAACAGCCCTAACTGCAGAGTCTCCAGATCCAGTCACCTTCCAAAAAGCCCCTCTTTGAATGCTCTGGTGGTGGGTATCTAGGTATGAACTGTAACAGGCAGCCAGCTAAAGATCAGGGCTATTTGGTTTGTTCTATTTTGAGAAGGTGGGGGCTGCAGATGGCTGGGGATTGAAGTCAGGGCCTTTGGACTGAGCTACACACCCAGCCCTTTTAAGATTTTTAAATTTTTTGCCTTGAGCCCAGACCTAAGTCTCTAAGTTGCCCAGGCAGGGCTCAGACTTACAGTCCTCCTGCCTCAGCCTCCCCGGCAGTGTGTTTGTGCAGATCGACTGAGTGGCATCTTTGGTGAAAAAGCTTTTTTCCCTTCCTGATACCAGTGGGATGGGGTGGACGTTTTTACAGGGGGAATTTACTCTTTGCCTCAGGCGGATGAGGGGAGCCTGGACAGCTTTTCCTGTGTCTGCTTTTTCTCAGTTGCCCTCCACCCAAGACAATCCTTAGGCCCGATCAGCCTGTCTTACAGGGTCATATGCTGTCCGTGACATTTTAATAGCAATTCAGTTAAAATACCCTTCAAACACTGTAGAAACCCAGAACAGAAGAAAACAGAGCCTCATCACTTACAGGCACTGGCAGGTTTATTTAGGGAACAGAGAATTTAAACCAAGATTAAATTACTACTGGACAAGTCAGAACTTTTAAAACCACAAATAGTTCCCCCCGCCCCTTATATAAATTCTACGTCTTTTTTTTTGCTTGGTAAAACTTTTTCCCAACACGAATAGCAACTGTTGCATAGTACAGACTAGCAAGGTTGAAATAAATGATGGCTTGCAAGTATATAAATAAATGCTGTGACGGTCATATATCGAAGCTGATGGAATCATCAGAGGATGAATATCTTATTTCCAGGTTTCCTGAGCAGCTCGGTCCTAGAGTCTGCGTGAATGCAGGGGACATCCCGTCCCCCAAGGTCCCAGGGTGCAGGGTCGCGGCTCCACCTGCTCTCGCCCCGCTGACCCCAGCAGCAGCCACAGTCCCATCGCTCAGTGATCTCTGCAGATGCCGTCAGTGACTGCTCTGGATCTAGGTCCCCGTGAACCATACTTATCTTGAATATTTCTTTCAAAAATCCTGGCGTCATATACCGAAGCGAATTAGGCTGAAATAACAGAACACTGGAGTCAGACAGAGTAAGTAAAAATACTTTTTGTCTTTTCACTCTTACGAACTTTCTAATTTTTAAACTATCCAATAAGGAAGTCTTGCAATTCACAAAACATGAAGGAAGGACACCGAGAGAAGAAAGTTTTGTTTTTAAACATCCTGCAGCTGGACTCCGACTTCAGCAGGGAAGAGATTTCCGTCCCCTGGTGGGGAGGGGTCTGTATCCTAGACCTGGCTCATGCAGCAGATGTCCAGGGACCGAGGGCTGGACCTTGTCCTCCAGTTAGGGACTGAACCCCTGATGCCAGCTACCTGTGCCCAGGATGGGGGAGTCCAGGAGCCCCCCCACCGTGCACCACGGGCCACTTCAGCCAGTCTCTTCTGCCCCATGACCCCCCACCTCTGCACGCCCTCCAGGTGCCAAGTCTGTCTGTCCACTGCACCAGGGCGCCCTCAGGCTGCTGGGGAGGGGGCAGGTGCTGCGTGTGGCCTGCGGCTGCAGAGTCTCTCCTAGTCAGTTTGTAATCCATGCCTCCCACCCACGGGCAGCATCCTGGGGAGAGTAAAGGCACAGTCAAACAGAAGAGCCTCTGCCCTGTTCCTTTCTTTAACCTTGACTGCTAAGGCTTTTACAGCACAGAACAGGCCACAGGGTGACTTCAGCCAGGGCCGCTGGCCTCAGAGTCACCAGGAATTCAAAAGACCCTGTGTCACGGGTCTCTGGTCCCCACCCAGCTGCTCCGGCAAATGGACGGGAGCCAGGGTGAGGTGCATCTGGCACCGACTTGGGCTTCAAGGCTGACACCCCCAAAATGTCCCCTAGTAAAGTCCCCTGGCCAGAGCCAGCCGACACACAGCCCAGGTGCCACTGGAGTACAAATCTGGTCAGCCAGCACCGCCTCCCGGGACTGGGTTCCCACCCTCTCTAGGAACCTCGGGGAGATTTCTGTACGTCATGGTGACTAAGGGCGGGAGGGATCACGGTGGCAGCTTCAAAACCCACCCCTGCACGTTTCGTCTTTAAGTGGCTCTTTCTTTGGCAGATTGCACGTTCACCAGATGTCGGGTGGGGTGAGAGGGAGCGGTCCCCCGGGGCCTGCTCCATCCTCCTGGGGTAACTCGGTGCCACCCAATGAAACTGCGCCAATCCCCAAGTTGTGTCTGTGAAATGGGGCTTCATAGAGCCACACTGAGCCCCCCCAAAACAAGTTTCAGGGGTACATATGCCTGATCTTCAACTTGCAACTAATCCATCTTTTTTCTTCAACTTCCAAGCATCATTGCTCTGGCCATGAAGCGGAGCAACCAGCTAAGGGCAGGGAGCAGGGGGCTGAGGCCAGGGTCTCCACATTCCATGTTCCAGAAATTGGAGTTCCTTTCTTGAAAATGGCTGGGAAATAGCTAAACAGGGCCCCTGGGGAGCAGGGGCCTGGGCCAAAGGCTGCTGTGCACCTTCTGTGTCTAAGATGCAGGTTCTTGACAGCCCCAAATGTGACCCCCCTGCAAGGACGGGGGACTCAGCCCCAGGTCCGGTCCACGTGCCAGGATGCTGGTCCCCGCCCTCTGCCCAGGGCAGGGCAGCTGGAACTCAAGTCACCCTCTAAGGGCCAACCTTTTTTCTAAGCAAGAGGCCCTCCGTAATGGAAAGGCACAGGGGAGCCCTGGCCCTCACCCTCCCCTGACCTAGGAAGCACCCCCCACAGAGGTACGGATGAGGTCTCAGCTGTTTCCTGCCTCCCTCCTACCACCCAGCCCGTGTTCACACACGTTCGTGACATTTTGATCAATGGGAACTGTTACTGATTTTAACTTTAAAAATACTGTGTCCCTCTCTACCTTCTCAGCCCACCCGCCTGACCCCAGACACCCCAACGGCTGTGCCTTTGATTGGAGTGGGGGCCGCGAGTGGGGGCCCTCTTGGGAATCACAGTGCCACGCATGGGGGGGGGTCGCCTTGTCCCTGCAGGGGTCCCGGCAGCCCCAGAACCGGCCGCACGCACATGGCGATCAGCATCGTACAGCACCCGGGTCAGTACCGGGCCTGCCCCGGGGAGGCGTGAGTGAGCTAAACCTGCCAGCTCCTCCAAGGCGCAAGCGCGACCAGAAGAAGGTGCCACCGCACACGTGTGCGCTTGCAAACTTCCAGCGCCTAAAAATACCTCCCATAAACGCGGAAAGCTGCCTGGCTCAGGAGAAAGGAATGAACGGTCAGGGACCACTTCCTGCGTCGCCAAGACAGCGCGGTCCCGCCTGGCCAGTGGGGGAAGGGGCGGGGCGGTGGGCGGAGCCTTT